AAAATCTATAAATATGTACAGGGATGCATCAATAATACAGTAAAATATAATATTTCTTACAACAGAACTCCCAAGGAACCTGAAAATAAATTTGTCAACGAAAATTTGTTTGAATTGACGACAAAATTTTCAACATATTTCAGACTGCAAGTTTGTAGGAAACGGGTAAAAGCACAGAGCAGTGCTTCTGCAAGTGATAATTGGAGACCTATTTTCATTTCTCACCGTTCAACGGAATCAAGAGGAAAAATTGGGAATACAGCACACTTATCTTATACAGTACAACGTATTGAACTTGCCTTCGTAAAAATGCACTGATCTTCTCGTGAAGTAAAAAGGAAAAAAAGCTGTAGATGTGTAAGAGATAATTATATCCAAATTCACTTGTTCATTCAAACCAGTTTGTTCATTGAAACAGAGAATGTACTGTCTACACTACAGTAATGTTATTTGAGAGAAAGGATCAAATCATCAATGAGAATAAATAAATTTGAATAAAAAATAATGCTGCGTATTTTGTGGAATACAGAACGCTAAATTTTCTTTACAGAAAGCTTTGCTTGTCCGATGACATTGTAATGATGCAATGCAAACGTTGGATTTTTCCATTTTTTGCCAATCATCAACAACAGTAATTCGAATATCGCATACACGGAATCAGGGCAAACAATTCTTCATACAGAGATCACAGGTGAAAATGATTTTGATCAAATGAAATTTTTATAATTTGGAGAAACTGCTGAGGCCCTCGAAAATTCGTCAGAATAAATGCATCATTACCAGATTCATTGTAAATCATACCACACTCAATCGAATTGCCTCAGAAAAAAAAAACGAGACCATCTTCAATGATTCTTGAGATAGGACTTGACGAGAATGTGATTCCGGTCGACAAACCTTTTCACTCAAAGAATCCAAATGTTGCTGTCGAGCGTATTCCCGCCTCCGAATGTGTCGGTAAATGTGAAACTCTCCACTGCCCGCACCCGCACTGGAACCCATCACATTCCGTATGAACTCTGGAGGTTCTGAAAATTTCTTCTCTTTCCTCTGGTCTGGGATGTGAACCGGTTTGTCCTGTAATAAGAAGAAAGAAAAGTGACATTCACTGAAACATTATATTTTCTTCATTTTACGAAATTAGCTTCTTTCTTCGTAATACTGCAAAAACAAAAATAATTGTGGAACACTGGAATTGAAAAAATATACATTCTTGCAAAAATATAGCGTTCTTGAATTCTGCTATTCGTCCTCAACATTTTGTCATTCAGTATCGCTGCTGAAAACCAGGGAAAAAATGTATGGGCCTCCATGTACGAGTTGTACAGTACAATTAGTTTCACCCGAAATTTACAAAATCGACACCAAACAAGGTTTTTCTGACGATACAAGATCCGGGTAATATGCATATACCCTCACCGGAAACTGTAACCCAGCGTTCGCGAAAAACAAACATCACACAGGTTCATCAAATCTCACTTCAACCTTTTTACAGTGAACTTCAGTTAAGTGAAATTAATTACTGTACTGTATTGCGGAAACTGACCGGTTTTGCCATGAGTTTGTCGAGCTTGAGTCGTTGGAGATCAACAGCGTTCTTGATCACCTTCGGTGCACCTCCTTCATCAGAGTCGGATTCAAAATCGTCCGCTTCTCCATCTTTTTTCACTTTTTCTCTCCGACCCATAATAATCAACAATCAGAAAGCGTTTTCAAAAATCCGAATACCTGCGGGCGAGAACGTGTGCGTGTCAGATAGGTAAGACATCGCATGGGGAATAACGAAGCCACGACATTCATGTCGAAATTGATGCCAAAACATAAAACATGCCCAACGATATTGAACACTTCAGCATACCGTGAGAGTTGCCTTTGCTTTACCGTGATTTCNGAATAAAATTCTTTCTCTCAACTTCAAGATACAGTACATAAAATAAAATGCACAGAAGAAAACCCCACAGTATCTGATCTTTTGGCAGGCAAAGGAACCCAAAAAGCAAAGAACAAGCACAAGTCTTGCTATACTTTTCACACATGATGGGGAAACAACTCCGAACAAATGAGCAAAAAAGTAGCATGTTTCGAATGATGAATCAGAGTAAATTTCTGATAAAATTCGTGCTCAACTTTCGGTGAAAATAAACACGATCTGTTCCCTAAAATTCAAACATATCTTTGTTAGAATTTTAAAAATAAATTTTTATTTCATTTTTATACAAAATGTTAGCATAATGTCTTGAGACATTGCCCGGATGTTGGGGCAGATTTTTTGAGTTTCACGTATCCCTGAGTCGAATCGTCCGTGTTTCAAGGAACCCCCACTGTTAATTAAAATTAGGCAGAATTCAATTTTAGGACATTACTTGGTACTGTATTATTAGAGGGTTCTTTCCGTGGACTCTTTGTTGAAAACATAATGTAAATCTAGCTAACCTAACCTGAGAGCAACTAAATTAGGTAAGTCAAACTTATCTTGAGACATTGTGCGGATTTCGGACAGATTTTTTTCTTGTACTGAACTATAAGTGTCCCTAAGTCGAATTATCCGTTCGTCGGGGCGTCCAGATCTCGAGCTCCCATTGAATACATACGGAATTTCTCTCTCTCTCTGCAAAGAAACTCAGGGGACCACAAAAATTTCGTTGTAGAGAGCATTTCGTCGTAGAGAAACTTTATTAAATGAGGAGAGAACCCTATCCTATGGGAACTAAAAAAATGCTTTTTTACAAAGAAAATCGTTGTAGAGAGACTCCACCTGTATTCCCCATCGAACGTGACCCAGAAAGATAATTTCTACAGCAACTAAATATAAGAAGTTGATGCAACAATATTGACGGAAAAAAGTTGCAGGAAACGAGTGAGAGACGAACAACAGCTATACAGTACAATATAGGCACATCAGTCGGGAACACCTGCTTTGGACGCATGCCCGACCGCCGATGGCCTGCATCAAACACGAAGAACCCGGGTGCGTCGCACTCGTTCGGTTTCCAAGGAACACGACCTGTTACTTCATGCATTATACAATCGGCACTTCCAAATCAATCCCGGCGACCGTATATAAAGCCCGGGGAAACAAGGAACAGACATCCACATTTGCACTTTGAAGCCAACGAACTTTTGCGGTGAGTAGCACAACATCAAATGCAATGGCAAGCGTGAAATAGGGCCATAGTCGTGAAAGTTCTTCTAGAAATTGCGCGAGCATACAACTATGTACAGTATACAGCCCTTTAGCCTGGCACATCGCAACGGTAACTCGAAAGTTTCTTGACCAAATGCTCGCATCATCGAAAAAATCAGTGCGCGAAATTCGGATACAGTAAAAAATTGTTAACGAAGTTTTTGGAACCAGGAAAGAACCTTCGCTATTTTTGGAACCAATAATTCGTCATCACGAGATTCGTTGAAACGAGATTCCATTGCACCGTCCCAACGAATTTACCATTTCGGATCTGCGTGATTCTGACCTGAAAACTCAATTCGAATGAAGTAATTTCACGAAGACGGAGTCCCGCGTAGAATTAAAATACCGTA